GATGCTTGGTGCCTCCCTGGGCATATCTACTGTCCTGCTGTCTACCAACCTACTACCTACAATATATATGGATGCTTGTGCCTCCCTGGGCAGTACTACTGTCCTGCTGTCTACCAACCTACTACCTACAATATATATGGATCTTGGTGCCTCCCTGGCAGTACTACTGTCCTGCTGTCTACCAACCTACTACCTACAATATATATGGATGCTTGGTGCCTCCCTGGGCAGTACTACTGTCCTGCTGTCTACCAACCTACTACCTACAATATATATGGATGCTTGGTGCCTCCCTGGGCAGTACTACTGTCCTGCTGTCTACCAACCTACTACCTACAATATATATGGATGCTTGGTGCCTCCCTGGGCAGTACTACTGTCCTGCTGTCTACCAACCTACTACCTACAATATATATGGATGCTTGGTGCCTCCCTGGGCAGTACTACTGTCCTGCTGTCTAACAACCTACTACTTACAATATATATGGATGCTTGGTGCCTCCCTGGGCAGTACTTCTGTCCTGCTGTCTACCAACCTACTACCTACAATATATATGGATGCTTGGTGCCTCCCTGGGCAGTACTACTGTCCTGCTGTCTACCAACCTACTACCTACAATATATATGGATGTTTGGTGCCTCCCTGGGCAGTACTACTGTCCTGCTGTCTACCAACCTACTACCTACAATATATATGGATGTTTGGTGCCTCCCTGGGCAGTACTACTGTCCTGCTGTCTACCAACCTACTACCTACAATATATATGGATGTTTGGTGCCTCCCTGGGCAGTACTACTGTCCTGCTGTCTACCAACCTACTACCTACAATATATATGGATGCTTGGTGCCTCCCTGGGCAGTACTACTGTCCTGCTGTCTACCAACCTACTACCTACAATATATATGGATGCTTGTATAAAAAGCATTTGTTACATTAAATTGTAAGAGAAGTTGCCAATGATATTGACCTTCATGAGTTGTTTATAGAGGAAGAAAAGCATTGTTGCATATGATGTGGATAATGTTAGACATTAGCTCTTTCACGGTCCAGACCCCTGATCTGAAAAATGTTTAGTGTCCATGAATTTAAAAAGAAAAGTTCTTAGGAAATGGTAGAGAATCTTTTTCTGAACTCAGCAATGCAAAAGGTACAATATTTGATGGAAAAACTGATGAAATTACACTCGCAAATTTTGCTGTGTAAGTGATATTTATGTATTAGTAATTTTGCCCATTTAGTCGTATTTTAGGCCAATTATATACATAAAAATTTTTTATCCATTTCGCTATTGAAGTCTTCCATTTTTATTGATTGAGTACAAGAAACCGCCCATTTAGCTATTTCAGCTGCTCAATAAGGTGATCAGAAATTGGTAATTTGCCCAATTTCACACAGCTTTCAAAATAGGGTTCAGAATAAGCAATGCAGACATTCCTGGCACTAGAATAACATTTCGTCTGTTCTTTAGTTACAGCTCCAGGCTTCTCCAATATTATACATGAATTCTGTTTTGAATTTTTATTCACATTAAAAATAGAAGATTCACTGTTATTCATTATTGTAATAATTTTATAAATATCAATCCATTCATGAGCATACATTAGACTGATCAGTTGGACACGTATTGGACGAGTGATGGATTTGTGTACTCTGGAATATCTGCATAACTCGAATCTTCTTTCAACAAACCAGCTATAACCCCCTGAGGCATGGTTACCTGGAGTTTACCTGGAGAGGGTTTCAGGGGTCAACCCCACATGGCTCAGTCTGAGACCAGCTCTCAGGGTGGATCAGTGTTTGATCAACCAGGCTGTTACTACTGGCCCCACAAAACCGATTTATGAACCACAGCTAGGCTGATCAGGTACTGTCTTTAGGTGCCTGTCTAGTGCCTTATTGAAGATGGACAGGGGTCTATTGGTAATCCCCTTATATATGCTGGGAGGCAATTGAACAGTCTTGGGCCCCTGACACTTAGTGTTCTTTCTTAGTGTAATCGTGGCCCCCCCTGCTTCTCACTGGAGAACGTTGCATCTGCCAAATCTTTTGCTTTGGTAGGGAGCAGTTTTTGTGTGCAAGTTTGGTATTAATCCCTCTAGGATTTTCCAAATGTATATTGTCATGCATCTTTCTCGCCAGCATTCCAGGGAATACAAATCAAAGGGACTTTGACCGTTCCCAGTAATTTAGGTGCTTTATCGTACTTAGGTGTGCTGTGAAAGTGTGTATGTTCTCCAGGTCAGCAATTTTGCCTGCCTTGAAGGGGGCACTTAGTGTACAGTAGTATTCCAGCCTAGGGAGAACAAGCGATTTGGAGAGAATCATCATGGGCTTTGCATCCCTAGTTTTGTAGGTTCTCATTATCCATCCTATTTTTCTAGCTGATGACGTAGATAGTACACCTACCATCCGACTTACGACCGAGTTCGGTTCTGAGAAACCGGTTGTAAGTCGAAATGGTCGTAAGTCGAACTTTACTACTGAATATCAACAAAACATTTTTGTAATGACTTTATTTTTTGTTTTATTTTGGTTTTTTCATGTTTTACTTTACTTTTTATGTTAGTACTGTATTTTATACTGTAAGGTTTAGGATAAACACTGTGTACAACACAAATAGTTGTTTATTTCCCAGAAATTTGGCATAAAAAACACGGTCGTAAGTTGAGTGGGTCGTAAGTTGAGTGGGTCGTAAGTTGAGTGGGTCGTAAGTTGAGTGGGTCGTAAGTTGAGTGGGTCGTAAGTTGAGTGGGTCGTAAGTTGAGTGGGTCGTAAGTTGAGTGGGTCGTAAGTTGAGTGGGTCGTAAGTTGAGTGGGTCGTAAGTTGAGTGGGTCGTGTGTACATTGTTGTGGTGTTTGAAGGTGAGACCCTCTGACATAATCACTCCCAGATCTTTCACAATATTTTTTTGCTCTAGTGTGTGGTTAGAATTTGTTTCATACTTTTAATTTTCAAGTCTTCCATATCTGGGTAGTTGAAATTTCTCTTTATATTACTTTATATTGTTTTCTGCGACCCATTTAAACATTTGGCTGATATCCGCTTGGAGTGTTGTCTTGCACTGTTGTGGCAATTAGTCATCCACAAAGGACATGGAGCTGTGGCTTGCATCTCTTGTTTTGTAAGATATGAGGATGAGGAACAGGATGGGAGTGAGTTCTGTCTTGTGGAACAGCTTTTCACTGTAGCAGCCTCAGACTTTACTCATTTTAGTATTACATTTGTGTTTTGTTAGGTTATAGATCCATCTACCACCTTTTCCTGTTATTCCTTTGTCATGCATTTTGTGTGCTATTATATCATGGTCACACTTGTCGAAAGTTTTCGCATAATCTGTGTATACATCTTCGTTTTGTTAATCCTCTAAAGCATCCAGTGGTCCAGCATCATAGTGGTCCAGTAGCTGGGACAGACAGGAGCAACCTGCTCTAAACCCCTGTTGCCCTGGGTTGTGTAATCGATGGGTGTCTAGGTGGTTGGCAATCTTACTTAGAGCCCTTTCAAAGATTTTTGATATGGGATGTTAGTGCTATCGGTCTGTAGTTTTTTGCAATTGCTTTACTGCCACCTTTGTGGAGTGGGGCTATGACTGTTGTATTTGAGTGTTGGTTGACCCCTGTGTCCATGCTTCCTCCATAGAATGCTGAAGGCATATGACAGGGACTTCTTGAAATTCTTGATGAACACTGAGTTCCAGAAGTCTGGGCTTAGGACAGAGTACATGGGCATGTCATTAACTACCTTTTCAGTCTTGTGGTGTTAGGATATCAGATTTTTGAAGTGACCAAATTTTGAGTCGGTGATAAAAAATTCATTTAGATTGTCGACCGAGTCTTGTTAACGGCTCGCTGAACAGTCATTTAGGTACTTTATCTCGCTCATTTCTTTGCTGTCATCTATGTAGGCCCCATCTCGTCTAAGCAGGGGTTCAATGCTGGATGTTTTCGCCTTAATTTGGCATAAGAGACGTACGTATTTAGATTTTTTTTTGTCAGTTTCATTGATGGCTTTAAGTTCTTCCTGAGTTTCTTGTCTGCTGTAATACTCCTCCAGCTTACGTTCAATATTTGCCATTTCTCCGATATACTACTACCCCCTCCCTCTACGAAGAATAAAACCATAAAAAACATCCAAAATTACTCCCTGAAGTTATTTTAAACTCCAAATGTGCTCAGTTTTTTCCCCATTATATACTGCATAGGGCAGGACTTTTTTTTTATATGGTGCACACTTGCCACATAGACCTATTTTCTCTTGTCTAGGCCAAAATTTATCACCTCTCAGCTTGTGTGATTTAAGCTCATCCCGTACCTCTAGGGCACTGACCCAGAGGTAAAAGCGTTGTCCTTGAAGGGGTTAATGTATGTGGCGTACTAGTATGCAGGTGCTGTCTGTTTAGCGGACTGGTTCACAAATGTATACTAGTATGTGTAAACTATTGTATAAAATGAATGAAGAATAATAAACACATAAAAATTTGTTGCTTAGTACCGGTAGACTAAGGTAAAGCAGATGGAGTATGGGTAGTGTAAGTAGGCTAAATAACAAAAAGGCACAATACCGTGACTGGAACAATACACACACAACCTGCTAATAAGGACGTTTCGATGTGACTAACAGAAAGGAGAGAAGGGGCAGTATATATAAACCAGCAGACAGGGACAGGAAAAGTGGTGGTGGTGTGCATCGTATTTTACATTAATTGTAAAACGCAAATGTCACCGGCACATTTGTGCTGCTGTTGCTGACGAGTGATCATTTTTTTCTCTATCTTCAATATACAATAAAATCATGTTTTTATCAGATAACATTTATTTTAGTCTTATTCTGTTCAGAAAAATAAACTTGAATTGTGTAAGATTTTTTTTTCCAGAATCTTCCCATACAAACAAGTACTTTTTCCTGGGTATCCTACAGTTTAAGGGTTAATTCTGAGTATAAATTGCTGAAGCTGGAGTTATGACATACGTATTGCAATATTGTCAAAATATTTTCAGTGTTGGATGGGCTGTGAGGGTCAGAACTCAAACCAGGTGATGGAAGGAATTGACAAGCGAGATGTTCACTCCACCACCCTCGTTTTATTCTAGGTAAGATATTTATTTAATTTTTATTTACTCCTATTTTGTTTTTATTTTTATACTGTATTTTGATTATTAAATGTGTTCTTTTTGCATTTCATATTTTTTTTTCTAAATTTTATATTGTTTTACAGTACACCGTCGTTTAACAGGGTTTTGTCTAGCACATCCTGGTTATAGCATGATTAAAGAATCGTGGCATATTTTTGTTTAACACTTCATAAAATTAATTTAACTCAGTTGCAGGAGGGGAAAAAATTTTGAGCATGCTGTCGCCCGTGGGGTGGGATGGGCTGTGGATTATACCATTGAGTCAACGGGGGAGACCTACCACCATCCCCAACCACCCTCCCAGCCCGGTTCATACGTATTGGACGAATCTGTGTTAGGAAGGAGCTCGCTGTTTTAGATACATGCACTATTTTAATTGCCCTGTCTTAAACTTGCCAAGCAATCAAGGGACCCAGTAGGCATACAAATGTTGCTGCAAGTGGCAAGAAAAGGTTTAAGCATTAGTCTAGGAGTTACAAAGAAAATATATACACATATGTGTACATTGTATTAAACAAGCTTAAGACTGGCTCGTGTGTGGTGGATATAGTTAGGGCCTAATGGCCTTAACTCTTTCAGTTTGATGTACTAGTATGGCTTACGCACCAGGGTTATTGACGTACTAGAACGCCTAAATTCTGGCGCCTTCAAATTTAGCGAGAGAAAGCTGGTAGGCCTACATATGAAAGAATGGGTCTGTGGTGTGTGCACAGTAAAAAAAAAAATCCTGCAGCACAGTGTGTAATGAGAAAAAAAAATGACCTTGTTTTTGGTTTGAAACAGCGACTTTGCACTGTATTTTTCGTATGGTATTTATGGTTGTATTCTAGTTTTCCTGGTCTCGTTTTATAGAATCAAAGACATATTACAGAAATTGAGATTTTAATTTGTTTCACAATGGAAAAAATACCTTGAAATTGAGCTCAAAGTAGCAGAAATGTTCGATTTTTTTTTCAAAAGTAAACAAATCATGCCAAGCGTCCAATACATGTCAACTGGCGAGTCTAATATTCTTTCACAAGTGCGACGAAATTTATACCATTTCTACTCTAATGCAGTAGTCTCCGTAGCAGTAAATCTTGAATTTTTTTGAGAATAAATATTCAAAGTGGAAAGCAAAAGAAATGTAAGAGGAGCCTGGAGATGTGACTAATGAACAGAGGAAATATTTTAGTGCCAGGAATGTTTGTCTTGTCTATTCTGGACCCTATTTGGAAATTGGCATCTTTTGAAATTTGTATGAAATTGGCAAAATTGCGAATTTCAGACCACTTTATTGGCTAGTTGAAATCGGTAAATGGGTGGTTTCTTGTACTCATTCGATAGAAAAAATGAAGTTCTAGCGAAAGTTATGAATTTTGTCGACTAGTACACTGAAATTGGCCGAAAATAGGGCTCAGAGAGCAAAAGCGCTGATGCGTGAACATCATCGAGACTGCTAACTTCGCGAGAGCATAATTCCGTAAGTTTTCCATCGAATTTCAAAATTTTGGTGTCATTATTATCGGGAAGATTCTTTCTTTTCATAAGAAGAAAAAAATTTTTCCTGAAAAATTTTTGACCCTGAGAACGAGTTTAGGAGAGGGCCTCTCGACCCTGAAAGGGTTATGAAGCATCAGGTCATACAATTAAAAACAATGAGGGAATATACGAGCTTGTGTAATGAATAACCCAAGATGTCGCCTCATGAAAAGAATGACACTCAGATCACAGCAAGTAAATAAAACTGAAGACTTGCTGCTTGAGTGAATTAAACAAAAGACAGAGAAAGGTGCACCACTTAATTTCATCTTAATTAGGGAAAAGGCCTTACAGTTGTTCAAAGCAGTGTGATAAGGATGGAAGATATGAAAAAGGTGTGTGTTTAGCACTAGCTGGTTCCACAACTTTAAATTGCATAATTAGTTACATAAAATTAAGTTTTCTGGTGAAAGTGCTTCAGCTTATCATACAGTAGCAAGTAAACAGCAAGATAAAGTTAACATTGCAGCAGTTACGTGAGCAGTTCCATGTTGCTAAACTAGCAGACTTTTTCACTGAAGAGGACCCTGACTAATCTAGAAGCAGTGCTTTGAAATGGGGTCTAGACCAGCTGATGATGCCTTACCATCAGCTGTATAATGTACTTCAGGATAAGAGCCCAGAGATCCATTACAGAATTTATGCACACTCCAATACCACCATTGATTTCAGTTCCAGAACCTCTACCATCCACTTCTGCTGACAACCAACAACCATCCACCTCAACCCAGTAGGGCCACACCATCCATATCCACTCTTCACAATCATCTGCAAACACCATTACCCAGAATTTAAGGTAATAAATACTATTATTTCTATTGCATTTGAAGTCTTGTGCAGTAATGTATCACGACAGTGCACTACAGTTACATGTTCACTTTCATTTTTGTAAGATCTGTTGGTCTAAAAAAAAGTCGTTGGGCTTTTTGGGGGCTCCCAGGAACGTAACCCTATTTTTCCCACATTCTTTAGTTTGTCTAACACGGTTTTGCCTAACGGCATTTTCAGGGACGTAGCTACCGTGTTAAATGACTGTCTCTTGTAATTAACCCTTTCAGTGGCCATCATATAGAACTCATTAAGGTCAAGGTCCTTCATGTAGTTCTACCTCATGAGTTTGGGTCACTCACATAAGCTTTGGGCAGTAAATTTTGGCATAGATAAGAGAGAATGACTCTGGATGTTTATGGTTTTATTAGCAGCTTCTTGGTATCACTTGATAGAATGAAAGAAATGCTAATGAAATTGAAAGTATTTTGGTTGGTGTCTGAACCGAATGTTGCTTGAAATTGGTCTCGATGTAATGAAATTTAATTTTTGGTGATATTCCTTAGGATGGGTAAGGCCCCCTATATCTCCCAGTTTGTTACCAGTTTTTAACTGGTCTCGTCAATTATTGGGTTGCTGTAAACCATGACTGGTCATTCCTGGTTATGTTAGTGTCTGAGAAATAGAGTAAATCTTCTATTTTTGTGTGATTATGAATTCATTATGGAAGGCAAGTGTAATATAAGAGGCCAGAGGATGTTATTAATGACACTGCTAACTTTGCTCCAGCATAATTTCATAAATTTTCCAGTAAGTTTCATATTCTTGGTGTCATACCTCCAGGAAAAATTTTCTACCATTAGTTTTTTTTTTTTTTTTTTTTTTTTAACCCTTTGAGGGTCCAAGAATTTTCCAAAAAAAATTATGAAATGATAGAGAATCTTTTTCTGAAGGCAATAAAATAGTATGAAATTTGATGGAAAATTGGTGAAATTACACTACCGCAAATTTTACTGCATCAGCGATATTTACACATTGGTGATTTTGCCCACTTTTACTTCTATTTGTGATGAGAAATTGGTAATTTTGCCAATTTCAGTTCAAAATATTTGTTTCAAAATAGGGTCCAGAGTAAACAATACAGGCATTCCTAGCACTAATATAACATTTCTTCTGTTTATTAGTTATGTATTCAGGCTTTAGAGATGAATTCTATTTTTATTTTTATTTACATAAGTTTTATTCACACCAAAAAATAGAAGATTTACCGTTATGCAATATTGTAATAATTGTATAAATAATATCGCCACTTTCTGTTGATTTGTATTGGATGCATGACGTCATTTGTTTACTTGTGAGCATCGGCAAAAATTGAAAATTTCCGCTACTTTGAGGTAAATTTCAAACTACTGTACTATTTTCAGTACTAAAACCAGTCAGAATCATCTCAGTTTCTGTAATATATCTTCCATTCTATCAACTGAGACCAAGAAACCACAAATACAACTGTAAAAACCACAAGAAAATACACCGCAAAGTCAGCATTTTAGTCCAAACAAATACACCTACCATCCGACTTACGACCTGCTCGACTTACGACCACTCGACTTACGACCACTCGACTTATGACAGTGGTTTTTTATGCCAAATTTCTGGGAAATAAACAACTATTTGTGTTGTACACAGTGTTTATACTAAACCTTACAGTATAAAATACAGTACTAACAACATAAAAAGTAAAGTAAAACATGAAATACCAAAATAAAACAATAAAAGTCATTACAAAAATGTTTTGTTGATGTTCAGTAGTAAAGTTCGACTTACGACCATTTCGACTTAGGACCAGTTTCTCGGAACCGAACTCGGTCGTAAGTCTGATGGTAGGTGTAGTTGCATTTTTTCTCATGCACTGGGTACTGCAGGATTTGTTTTATATGGCGCACACTTACCACATAGATGCACTCTCATATCTAGGCCCAAATTTACCGCTCACAGCTTATAAGTGAACTGAGCTTATGACATAGATCTACGGCTTGGACCCCCAAAGGGTTAAAGTTGACTCTGGGAACAATATTGATTAACCCTTTGAGGGTTTTCGTCGTACTAGTACGTCTTACGCGTAGGGGTTTTTGACGTACTAGTACTCATAAATTCTAGCGGCCTCAAATCTAGTGGGAGAAAGCTGGTAGGCCTTCATATGAAAGAATGGGTCTGTGGTCAGTGTGCACAGTCTAAAAAAAATCCTGCAGCACACAGTGCATAATGAGAAAAAAAAAACTTTTACCATTTTTTTTTTAATAAATCAGCGACTTTGCAGTGTATTTTCGTATGGTATTTATTGTTGTATTCTAGTTTTCTTGGTCTTATTTTATAGAATGGAAGACATATTACAGAAATTGAGATGATTTTGACTGGTTTTACAAAGAAAGGTGCCTTGAAATTGAGCTCAAAGTAGCAGAAATGTTCGATTTTTACCAAACTTCAAAAGTAAACAAATCGTGCCAAGCGTGCAATACACGTCAACTGGTGAGTCTAATATTCTTTCACAAGTGCACCAATAATATTTATACCATTTTTTACACTAATGCAGTAGTCTGCATAACAGTAAATCTTATATTTTTTGTGAAAATAAAAATTCAAAGTGGAAAGCAAAAGAATATAAGAGGGCC